AGGGAGGGGAGCACTACACACTGGGGTCTGTTGGGGGGAAATAGGGGAGGGACGGTGGGGGGTAGAGAACTGGGGAGAGATAGCATGGGGAGAAATGCCAGATATTGGTGATGGGGAGGAAGGCAGCAAATCACACTGCTACATGTGTACCTATGCAACAATCTTGCATGTTCTTCACATGTACCCCAAAACCTAAAATGCAATAAAATAAATTTAAAAAAAAGAAAAAGAAGAAAAAAAGTATAGCCAGGTATGATAAAGTCAAAGTGAACAGTAATTTGAAATGCAGCTGACAGTTTCAACTCAAGCACAATAAATATGGATAAGAAATATGTGATAGTGTCAATTGGAAAATAAGCATCAGATACTTTTGAGTAGGAGCCCACTGACCTGGTTTGATTACTCCCAACCTCACTTTTGTGAGCAGCTGCATCCCAAAGAGCTCAGTAAAAAGAGGTCTTTGTGAGAAGCAGGTAGCTTAGCCTAGACCTATAGGCCCTAGAACTATGAGCCTTTTTTTTCCTAGTAGAGTTGGGGGTCTCGCTATGTTGCCCAACCTGGTTTCAAACTTCTGGCCTCAAGCAATCCTCCTGCCTTGACCTCCCAAAGTGCTGGGATTACAAACGTGAGCCACTGCACCCGACTAGTTACATTTGAATGAAAAATGAAAAGTACCCAAAGCAGAGGAATGCTTGTGATATCATTTTAACTTGTCTGTTTCTGGAAATCTGTTAATATTTTAAAACCCTACATGTACTATATGTAGATTTACTTACGTATATAGAGATGTGCTTACCTGAACTAATTTAAACATTTCATCTTGGAGCATTTGCCTAATGGAATCAGAACAATCTGGTAACTGATCCCTGCATTCATTTCTCTGGGTCTTCTGAGGTGTTGGAACAGGTGTTTGTGAAGCAACATTGACTCCATTTGATATCAGAGGTGGAAGTGAGGAAGATTTGTCTTTATATGTAGAAATCTGTGCACTATGTAGAAAGCATTTAAATAAAAAACATGCATTAATTGACAAAAAACAAACTGAACATGATTTGAATAGTTTGATCCCACTTTTGTCTTCCAATAGAAAGGTTATTCTGGTAGTTTTCTGGAAATTTAAGCCTTAAAGCCTTTCTCTCTAGTGCCTGTCGGCCACCACACACATTTGTCATCAGCTCAATTTTCATCTTTCTTAAGGGACTGTGTAGTCAGTGACGGATCCCTTCACATGTTGTTGCATACCCAAGAGCTGACATTTATTTTTACTTGCCTGGTCCCTGTGGACATCTGAATTTGAGACCTGTGCAATCATTCTGATTAGCTGTACAGACTTCATAATTTGTAATTTGGCTCAGGATTATGTTTTTGACTAAAATTAATGATTCAGCATGTTAAGAAAACTAGGGAAAAAATGGGTTAAAAAAGTTAATTCTAGGATAAGTAGAGAAAACTGTTTGTCATCATTAAATGTGAAACAACATTATGGTGAACATTTAATTTCCAAGCAAATCTCAGAGTTTAAATGTATAATAAAGCCTAACATAAAATGCTTATTTACAAATAAAAATTAAAGATGAATGCAAGGTCTTGGGGTTTTTTTTTTAAACAAAATGACTGTTGGGGGATGATTCCTCAAACATAGCAGATATTCAACGTTTTCTACGGTTTATAAACTACGCAAGGGAGCAGGCAATTATCAGATTCAAATAGATCACTGTTTCTAAAAAAGAAAAAAAACTTATTAAATTTCATATAGACTTATTTAGGTTTACACTCAATCTCATTCGGCAATAATATTTGCCTTTTATTGAGTATCTAACATGCTCAATTAAAAAAACTTTATTTGGCAAATTCACAAAAATAGGCATTACAACTGATCTGCCTTTTCTTTTTTTGCCAAAGTGAAAGCTTTGAGTGTTGCTCCTAGAGAATCATGTTTCTCACAGCTGCTGCTAGCCTCCACTGTCCCCAGCTTTCTTAGTTGGGTGATAAGTGAGTCAGCTGCCCAGTGACAGGGATCTCAAGTCGAAAGAGTGAGCTGGGACCAAAGGAGGTTCAGGAGGCACCCTGTGGGGGCTGGGTCCCTGAAGTGTGATGGAAGGGGGCATGAGTTTCAGGCTGGCTCCTCTTCAGGCATTCCTAGTAAAGCCACAAGGGGCTCCGGGGCTATAGGGGTCTCCTTGGGCACAAGATGGGTACATTCATGCTTGTACAAGTCACTGGCACTCAAGAAAGCCTTGGGACAGTAGGGGCAGGTGTAGTGATTCACTGAGTTGTAGGTACAGCTGGGTTTGCACAACCTAGCCCAGTCTCGGAAGCTCTTGCCAAACTGAGTGCAGGGGAAGGGCTGGATCTGGGTGAGACCACTCATGCAGACACAGTAACATTTCGTGAAGAAGGTCTCCTTGCACAGAGCTGCCCATTTTAAAACAACTTTATTAGGCTTTGCTTTTTACAGGTCTCAAGGAGATCAATTCTAACTACGTAAAATTTTTCTGAGGTAAAGCTGTGCTATATTTTCCTCCTATTTTGGCAAGATTTCTAAACACTAAGCACTCTGTTCAATCTCTGTAAGAGACATTCAAAAGAACTGGTTGAATCTGTTCTATGAGAGAATTAAAAGCATTTCAAACACTGTAAGAAATCAGTTAGAAGATGAAAATGACCAACAACTTCATATTTCAAAAATATATAATTACTTTTTTTCAGAAAACACCATTCTAACATAGTTCCTATATAACTTTAAAATAAAATTGCTAGTGGAAACCCAGTAATGAAAGATATCAGATATGTGTGCTTATGCTGCTCTTTCAATGCTTTATGTTGCTTTCATTTATATTCTTAGTTTTTAGTCAAAAATGTAGCAATTGTTTCAAAAATTGTACAGTCGACATATTTTCACTCTGATTTATTTATATAACACAACAATTTTTAAAAAGTATAGCAGGCAAAACTTCTTACCTAGAAATTTCTGAACTTGTATCTACTTGCATTGATTGAAGAGTGGTATGATCAGGAAGTGAAAAGCCTTCAATCATACTATCAATAAAAATTAACAGGTGATTAGGAGGCAAGATATTCTTTGCATTATCTAAGGTATGAGTGATCTATGCTCAGCCATCTGAGAGTCTAAACATCCTCTAATATTCTATAATGTTTAGCTCATAATCACAATCTGTTTACATTTGTCTCCATAGCAATTAGAAAGAGATCTAAGCAAAAGCAAAAAAAATATGTCTGGATGACTTAAAACACCGCTTAAACACTGCTGATTGCTCAGCAATAAATACAACAGAATCCAAAATGAGGGGACATGAGGTTAGCCAAGACCCAAATTTCACCTATAAAAGAGGAAGACACGTTGCTCAGCACACTAGAGCCCACTGTCACATTTGAAACTATAAAGAGGCCAGGCAGAGTGGCTCACACCTGTAGTAATCCTAGCACTGTGTGAGTCCAAGGCAGGGGATCTCTTGAGCTCAGGAGTTTGAGACCAGACTGGGCAACATGGCAAAATCCCATCTCTACAAAAAATACAAAAAAAATTAGCTAGGCATGGTGGTGCACACCTGCAGTCCAAACTACTGAAGAGGCAGAGGCAGGAGGATGGCTTGATCATGGGAGGCAGAGGTTGCAGTGAACCAAGATTGCATCACTGCACTCTACCCTGGGCAACAGAGCAAGACTCTGTTTG